TTGTTTATTGTACAACATGAGAGACGTGTGGCAAAAATACAACACTGGGGATAATAGTGGGTAGGTAAAACACCTGATAAAGGTAAATAATAAATGTCAGGGAAATTGTGGGACACAAGTTTGGTTGATCGTCCTTGGTGGCCGTATATAAAGCACAGAGAGGGCTAAAAGCGCCATTATTTCAAAGTCCAGTCAATTTTAAAATGTTTTTTGTGAATAAAAAAAGAAATACTGAGTTGGCAGTTACCATTCGTGTGTTTTATTGTTTTATTTGTGTGGCGTATCTAAACAATTTGTAAGTGTTGATTTGTAAGTGGTGTTATGTCGGATGTGTTGTGCTAAGTTTGTGTGTTTTATTTAGGAATAACGCCGCGCATAAATCCACTATTGGACAACGCCATCCGACTCAGACGAGAAAAGGTCCTGGGAACGACCAAACTGCCAGTGGATAACCCTTGGAACAGACAACAGCACCAATCTGGGAAGCTAACCAGTAGATCAAACCTAAAAATCTGTAAAAAGAAGATAAAAGATTGAATAAGCATGCCGTTGTGAAGGTAATGTAATTCAAAATTTAAGTTACTTACCAAAGAAAAGAAAGAAAGCCAAATCCCGCTAAAAGAGTCATATGAAGTTCCTTTTCCTTTGACGGAAACACCACTGAAATAGGAAAAAATATGAAATTCGTCAATTAATGTCCATCCGAATTTGATCAAAAGAAAAAAAAACTATAAAAAAATATTTGTTTGATAGTGTGTAGTTTAGTATATAAGTTAAATGTATTGTTTGTAGTTAGATCAATAGTGCTTAATTGTGATGATAATTAATGCCCTGGTAAATTTTCCATAGTGAGTGCAGGGTTGCCTCAAAATTTACAGCTAGACCATTTCTATATTTTGTTTGGGACAAGAATTTAGAATGTCCAAAACATTCGTCTAAGCGAGCTCCTTTAGGCAGAAATTTAGAGTAGTTGTATTGGCCAAAATTTGGCGCTTCAAGCAGTGTAATAAAAAAGGTAATCTGAGTATTGACTCACAAATTTTTCGTTCGGGTATTAATAGTCCAGTTTTTTTTCTGTGTTCATGTTGAAATTAGTTTTAAGAGAACAATAATGACTCTAATAAATAAGTTTAATGTCTAATTGTTTCAAGAATATGTCGTGCTAAATTTTGTTTGTGAGAGAGGAGGTTAGGCGTTGTAAGCAATTGAGTGTGCGTGGTTTTTTGGGGCCCTTTTAAATGTTTTCGAGTGTATTTGGACTAAAGGGTCAAGGATGGGTGGGTATAGTGGGGGAGCAATAATATCAAGCTCCTGTGTCTTGGGTGTATTTTGTGTATGTTTGTTTTCAGTTTTTTTTTGTTTGTGTTTATTCCGGTCATGGTAGAATGATAGAGGTAGCCGATTCAGCTCAGCTGATTGGACAATGAAATGTCAAAATAATGTCAAACGAGTTGTTGTAATTTTAATTCGCCGCACATGCGCATAACGCATCATCAATTTCAAAGTGCAATCGTTAACGAGAAAAAGGAAAGGTTTTTTGTGGAAAAAATAAAAATGAGAGTTTGCTTTATTTGCAAAACAAAATATGTTGCTGGCAAAGTTACATTTTTTAGCGTTCCGCGGGATGACAAGAAATGGTTGGAGTGGGGTGTGAGTTGTGGAATGCATTTTCCAGCCGATCCGAAAATATGTTCTGACCACTTCAATCCTCAACACAAGACTGGTAATAGTTCGAAAATGAGGCTTCTACCTATTGTTGACATTGGCTATCTTCAAGAGGATGCCTTGGAATACGTATCCGGTTATGTTATTCGAAAGCTAAATCTTGAAAATTGTGAAGACAATTCCAATTCATACACATGGGTTGATCAGATTTCAAAAGGCTCCCTAATAAAACCAACTCCACAATTTCTAAATAAAATAAAACAGTTGGAATTACATTTCAACAATTTTAATGGCTTGGAAATTTCACCATCAACTAGTTCATAGTACCAAAGATATCGAACTGCCCGAGAAAGTAAAGGAGTTCTTTTTTAAATGTCGTATTTTTTTTTAAGTTAAAAGTTTGAATAGACGCCTTAAAATACAAAAAGCCAAACAAAGAATAATGGGCAACAAGAAAATGGTTAAAATTACCTTATAAACTTGTTACTAGTTTTTACTGATGTTCCTATAAAAAGTAGAAATGTGATATAAATCTTGTCTAACCAATTATCATTACTTTTTTTGTTTATATCGTTGAACATAATTAATTTCGCACCAAACTTTGAGACGTTTTTATTTTAGTCCTTTTTATTTATCTATTTACTTATTTATTTTTTGTACTATTTTCTTAATTTTGAACCCAAAGATAAATAAGAATATGGATCAAAATATAAAATATTAATATATATATAATATGAATATATATATATAAAGTAATAAGTCGTCTTAGCATTTTACGCTGATCAAGAATATATATACTTTGTTGGGTCTAAAATTATTACTTCCATGAGTTGCAAACAGAATGACGAACTTAATATACCTGCATTTTGTTTACAAAAATACATAGACAGACGGACAGAGACGGACGGACATTCATAAATCGGCTCAAAATGTGATTCTTTGCAGATCAGCAAAAGGAACTATGTGTCTATCTCGTTTCCTTCGTTCACAAACAAATGCACAATGTTTTCAAACCATTACGCGCATGAGATCTTCGCGGTTAGATCAATTATCTGACCCAAAAAGCAAGACCTGGGAAAGGAATGCTTAGCGACTTTCCACGTAATCCTATTATCGTCTTTTTTGTTTTGTTTTGAAGCCAGCATCTAAAAATCTGCACAAGAGCTCGTTGCCGTTGAAAATTCAATCAAATATTTGCCCGGTAAACTGGGCCCATACATTCGTTGAAACAACATTGCAGAAATATCCAAGCGATAATGGAAAAGAACCAAAACCTGTCTGTGCGAAAAACAAAAGTTGTCAATAAAATATAATACATTTGGAACATAGTCATCTCGTCAACTTACCTGTCTCAGTCTAAAATCATCTTAAGCGTTGCCTTCTTTAACAAAAGACCAACCGTCTTCTTGTTATTCAGGAAGCCGCACAGATGTTTTTCTATTATCTGGGCTCCGGTTGTTTTCACATTTTTCAAATTATGAATGTATGTTGATTCATTACTTTCATTTGTTGACCAACGACAACTGCTTCTGATTGGCTGAAAAAAAAATTTGCTTTAAATTTGAAACGTCAAGGCGAATCGATCTAAATTCGCTTGTGTACAAATTTTGACAGATCATTGTACCAGAAAAGTTGCTTTGTTGTAGACATTCGCCTTAGCATCTACCTGTTTCTTCTACCATGATTCCGGTACAATTCTTTAAGTGTTCATTCCCTAGGGTTGATGGTGGCATGGTTGAGAACCCCCTGGATAACCGCTCCCTCCTGAGCTAGTGCGGAACCCCACCATAACACCGCGTAGGCCGAATGTAACAACAGGTAGCCGCATCGACACAGCTGCTGTGCAATGAACTGTCAAACCGATTTTGGAATTGAAAATGTAGAATGAAAAATGATTGAGATTTCTAAAAATTGTAGTAACAACGTCCGTTTGCGTCGTATAAGAAAATATGCCTACTTTTACTTATTTTTTGACAAAACATTTTAAAAAATTTGACATGTCAAGGTTCCCAGGCGTCTTTTACCATGGTTACAACCATGTGGATTACCTCAGGTAATCGCTTCAATATAGATTATGGAACAGTGAACTGTCAAACCAATTTTGGAAATGACAATTTTGAGCGGTAATTTACTAGAATTTGTAAACATTTTGAAAAAATGCGTATCATAACAACCTTTGATTGGCGCAGTATTAGAAAACACGTAAAAATCTACTTGTTTGTGCAAAAAAAATTAAAATTTTTAATGCACGTGATTCGCTCTCTATTCCTTGTTCGACCATTATCTAAGAAATATCTACCTAATTCCACACTCAAAATTTGCTGAGCGAACAAAGATTCCATTCGAATCACTCTCAGAACTAAGATTAAATGTGCGACATCCCTAACAAATGAGAGCATTTATCGAAAAAAAATTATAACATTTAAAATTTAAAAATAAGTAAATTTAATAAAATTTTATAAAAAAATGGGAAGACTGAAAATTATGAATGAAATCTACAATTTTGAATGGCTTACTGTACATTCAAACAAAAGTAAATTTTGTTTTCTCTCTCATCCGAGTCGCGCATTTTGTCCACGAGTTGAATTTTCAACAGAAAACTGCAAACAAAAGAGGCAATATTTTCAAAATGTTTGTATCGGCAGAAAAAATTTTTGACAAGTGTCTCTCCAGCAGATTTTAAAAGGAGAAAAATACAAAAAAAAGTCGACATTTACACAAAAAGTTGAAAACATGAATGAAAATTGTAAAAGTAATGATAAAACTTTGGAAAAAAAAAAAACAATAATTCTTTTCTATTCAAAATAGTGTTAATTCCATGTATTTTCGTATAAATGTCCATTAAAATCAACAAACATTTTTAAAAAAGGAATTATTTTGCTATGAATTACGAATCGTGCCGTATGAACGTGTTAATTCGTGTACCTAATTCTGAGAGCGAACCATGGTAGAAGAATATAGGTAGGCGCATCGACACAGCTGATTGGACAATGAACTGTCAAATCAATTTTGGAATTGAAAATGTTGAATGAAAGATTATTTTAATTTGTAGAAATTGTTGAAAAACGAGAGTTATAATAACCTCCGAATGAGGTCATATAAGAAAACATATAAAAATCTATTTATTTTTGAGGAAACATTTCAAAATTTTTGACATATCAATGTTTCTGAGCGTTAATGCATCTACCTGTATTCTTCTACCATGGAGCGAACAACGTGATTGAAAGTGCAATGAGAACATAGCATAACATATCAACATGATGCATCTACCTGTATTCTTCTACCATTGAGTACCTTTTGAATTTGCCATCATTCTATTTTGTTAAATCGAATTAATATCGACTTACGTATCCCTTATGTATATATATTTGTATTTTCAAATCATATATGTCGCCGGCGTTTTTCAAGCTACGCCTCTACGAATATTTCAAATAAATATCTAAAAAATCTTTGTCCTTAAAGTTTTACCTTCGTTGGTGCTATTCGATTTTTTGAAATGGGTTCCCATCAATATCAAATCGCTAATCTTCTTGAAAAGGTAATTTGTTATGCATATATAGTATATGTATAAGAAGAAAAGTGGTTAGTACACAGCGTCCTCGTTTTTTTGCAGATGACGTCCAATGATAAGGATTTTAGGTTTATGGCCACAAACGATTTAATGACGGAGTTGCAAAAGGATAGTATCAAATTAGATGACGAGTCGGAGAAAAAAGTTGTAAGAATGGTGTTGAAACTTTTGGAAGACAAAAACGGCGAAGTGCAGAATTTGGCTGTTAAATGTCTTGGACCCTTAGTGAACAAAGTTAAGGAGAACCAGGTAGAAACCATTGTTGACTCCTTGTGTGCCAACATGATTTCAAATACTGAACAACTACGAGACATATCTAGTATTGGTCTCAAAACTGTAATATCAGAGTTGCCGCAGACATCAAATTCCCTTGCACCCAATGTTTGCCAACGGATAACTGGTAAATTGAGCAATGCTATAGAAAAAGAAGATGTCTCTGTGAAACTAGAATCACTTGACATACTATCAGATCTGCTATCTCGCTTCGGAGAATTACTTGTCCCATTTCATAATACTATTTTAAAAGCACTTGTTCCACAACTCTCTTCTCCGCGACAAGCTGTCCGCAAGCGCACAATAGTTGCCCTATCACATTTGTTAACTCTATCTAATACGAACGCGTACAATGGGGTTATTGAACACTTGCTTAATGGTATGGAGGACGCTCAAAACCCTGCAAATGTGCGAACCAATATACAGTGTTTAGCTGCAATATGGTTAGTGTTTTATTGTTGGTATTTAAGATTTAAATCGCTAATATATCTTTTAACATTTATAGTCGGCAGTCTGGCTTTCGCTTTTATATTCATATTGATCGTGCAATGACACTTCTTGAACAATACAGTAAGCAAGATGACGATGAACTACGCGAATTTTGTTTGCAAGCATGTGAAGCATTTATTATGCGATGTCCAGAAGCAGTAAGGCCACACATTCCAATGGTAAGTTTTTAAGGTAGCAGTGGATTTTACATGCACATGACGTAAGTTAGGATTTAAAAAGTCGGGTCTTTTTCATTTGACCCAAACTAATTTTTAGTTTTGCGTGTTAGTGTGTGTTTTTGTGGGTTTGTAGATACAGTTATATCCGTGTGTTAATTGACTAGGCAATTCATATTATTTTAGATACAGTTATATCCAAGTGATTCGCGGAATACCTTATCGATTTCTTCATAGAAATGGCTTACATTTTAGTATACTACTACCTGTAACAGTGGGCGATAAAAAAACGTTCAATTGACCAGGTAAGAGCTAAAATAATAAAAAAGTAAAAGAAACACAAACTATGTGACAGAAGTAATGTCACGTCTACGCAGTCTATCGTGTCCTTTGAATAATAGGAGTTGGCGGACAAAACTATTTGGGTGCACGGATATTTTGCTCAAGTCCTTTCATCAAAGCTTCTTTATTTCTTCTTCAACGGTAAGTAAGTTTAGGTCCTTGTGGATGTTTGCGTTTCTTATGTAATAGATCGAAAATATTCGATTGTCTTCTTTGAAGCTTACTTACGTTAGAGGCACCAGCTGTGCCACAGAGCTGTATTCCATAAGTCCAAATTGGTCAATTAACATGTTAAGATTAGCCTAATTTTGTTTTTAGTTTGCGTGATTCCGGTCCAGGTGCATTCCCAGATATTTTTCGGCATCTTTCTGTGGAACTTAGTAGTGAAGATTTTTATTGAGGGGCAAAATTCACGTCTTAGAGCAAATGTAACGTGTATGCACTTGCTTCCATTTACCGTTATTCTCCATTTTGTCAGACAATTTTCGATATCATAGGATCATTGTGTATACTAATGAAAACAGTATCATCAACAAACGTTGAGGTGAAAGTTTCATAAAAAAATTAAAAGAAACGTATGAGTGTTTTTAAGTAGAGTATCACAAATTTTGTATAGAATTCTAAGATGCCAAACTCTGTCAAGGGCTTGGGAAATGTCTGTAAATAACGCGAAATAATATTCCTTTCTTTCGAATGTCATTTCAATGTTTGGAACTATGCGCTTGCTCACTAGTACTGTGGTTCTTACGGAAGCCGCATTTTATGGTCGTTTAATTTTTCTTCTGTATTTTTTGCCTAGGTCCCATTTTCTAGGCGAATTGAAGATTTGTGGGTGATAGGTCTTCTCAAGTTTTTTGTGGCTTTCCATAAGCTGTAATCAGTTCTCTCAGTGGGTTCTAGGTTATTTAGGAATATTTTTAAGTTTCGCTCTTCGTTTAATCACATTCTTTTAGTTTGTCCCAAAGCCTAGGGGAGCGGTGCTTCTGTCATTCTCTTCTGGCCTTCCCTTTTTCAGACACTAGTTTTCGAATGTCGATGGATTGTAGGAATTATTCTCTGATTTGAGAAATTTAGTGGAAACATTGACAGCGATGTTGACTACCGAAGCCGTGTGACAGAACAGTGATAGGTCAATCATGCCATACTGCTTGAGGTCATGCAGATAACTAACATCCCACCAAGTTCGAAACATTGGATCATCAACTATATGTGTGGCCAGTCTTACATGGAATTCCGGAACAGGAAGTCAAAGCCCGTAGAGTGAAACATGGAGTTCTTCGGTGGGGTGATATCTCCGGAACTGTTTAACCTATACATTTCCGGAATGTGGTCGATGACATGTGAAATAGGGTGAGATAAAAAAACTGGAACAAAGTCAAACACAAAATGTGGGAAATAGCATTACATTTTCGAATAAGTTTAGATTTGTTCGAATTGGTCACCTTTGGCACGAATTAAGGCCTTCAAACGGCCAATAAAACCGTCACACACTGCCCGAATGTTGTTCTGTAGTATTTTGGCCCATTCCCGGCGAAGCTCTTGCTTGAGATGATCGACTATTTGGTATTTTTTAGTGCCAACCTTGCTTTCCAAAATACTCCAGAGCCAAAAGTTCAACGGATTGGTATCCGGAGATTTTGGTGGCCATTGTGCGCTGAAAATGAAGCGAGGAATCTCATTTTGTAACCATTTTTTGGTGGCGCGTGCTGAGAGCGATGGTGCTGAGTCCTGTTGGAATGTCCAAGGTCTGCGGCCAAAATGTTTTCGTTTCCCTAGGCTTTAATACAACCTCCAGAATATATTCGCGATAATATTCGGCATTTAATCTGATGCCACGGTCGATTAATACGAGCGGAGAGCGACCATCGGCTGTTATGGCGGCCCACAAAATCACCATGACAGGCGCTTGTGTTCTGGTGGCCAACCGATATAAAGGTTCACCCTTTTCAGCTGACCTCTTTGGCAAGTAAACACTATCATTTTATTTGTTTACAAACTGCTAGACAACGAAGTTTTCACTTTTGAGTTTGTTTTCTTTATGTTGCGGTGCACTTTTTGGAATTTCAATGGCTTTACCCCGAGCTCATTTTTCAATATTTGCCGAATGGAATATTCCGATAAGTTCAGCTCATGAGCCATTTTTCGGCCATTATGACGGGAGTTTAGATCAAGTTGCTTCTTTACTTTTCGAAACATTTCTGCTGATGTTGCTGCTTTCTTCCGTCCACTTCCTTGACGTCGGGCTACGCTACCAGAATCACGGTAACGAGCGATGGTGCGAGACACAAAAGATTTATTCACATTTAAATGCTGGAGTGCTCTAACGATAGTGATTGTTTGTGGTTTTCCAGCCAAATATAAGAAATCACACTATCACGCTTGAATTCCATCACTGGAATAATTTTAATTATTTTGATTAGACGATAAACATTTACCACAAATGTTGGAGTACAGGAATTTGATTTGTTGCTGTTGGTGGTAATATTGCCATAATTAGTCTTGGTCAATGGCTACAGGATGACGATGAATTCCAGAGTTTTCATCGCTTAATCGCCTAAGCAATTGCAATGGGTCCAGATATGTAGGCATTTAAAATTAATGCATATGAAGTCATGGGAGTTGTAAATGTTCAGTATTTGTTTCAAACTTTAATTCATTTTTTTTTTTTTTTTGTCTATGTTTTTCATTTGTCAAAATTACTTTTTAGTTTCTACTATAACAACAATGTTCTTCTTGTAAAATGTTCGTTGTTGTAGCTGATGCATACACCTTATAAATACACCTTTGTATATTACATTTTTGTATTACAATAGTTTGAACTCATAGGTTATAACGATGACTACCGAATATCAGATAGTTCGTATTGTTAATGTTAATTGATATATCATTACGTACAAACCAATCACATGTTCAGTTAAGATCACTATTCACTTTACCGAGGACGGAAGAAGCCGAAAAAAATTGTAAGTCAAATGCATATATAGTCAACATCGAATTTAGAGCAGAGCTACGAAGATCACTTACGTACAACATAACAATATTTTGTGAACAATCAAACAGAAAGGATCAAATTAGATAGTAGGGATAAAGTGGAAAAAAAATTGGGTAAAGATTTTGTGTAGAAGTATATTGAGATCAATCGGGTGAATCCCTTTGCTTAAATTTAATATTGCAAGGTTTTTAGACTCCAGAAAGTGCCACCAATATGGAAGTGAGCCTAAATTCAAAACATAATGAACTCGAATGAAACCTCTTTTCAAGAAGGGAACAACCATTGCAAACTTCCATCTTCTGGGAACTTTTCGGGTCATTAATACAATGTTGTAAGTGTCTAGAAGATTTAGAGATATATAATGAATTAATTTGTTAAATTTGGGATAGAATCAGGGCTTACTGCATTAGACTCAATACTATTTATTGCACTCATGAATACATATTATTGCGAAAGTTAAAGTCATTTATTGGACATAGAGAGACAGACTAGATAAAAAGGACACATGGTTGCAAACACAGAAGTGAAATAGGTGTTAATTTCACAGTTATAATTATAACTTTTTACGAAACCGAATTGGCGAATACATGACAAAAAGTCAAAAGTGTTGCGAGAAGCTTGTGAAACGTTTGCATGATGAATTGAAAATTTTTTTATTCCTTTCAAAATTATTTTCCATATAAGCTCTATAAGCTCTCTTTTACAAATAACATTGCAACCCTCAGGGGCGAATTAACTTTTCCGAAAAGTGTGAAAATCTGGTTATTTCAGGCACATGAGTTGTTATATAAATTAGTCAATTATGTATTAAGAAATAAGTTAGGGTCAGTATCATTAGTAAAATATAAAGAAGAATTATTATGGTCATAAATATTATAGATAAGAGAATTAAAGTAATTTCATTGTAATTTTGTCATTTGCACAAGTGTTCCCTCTGACAAATTCAAATCACATTGAATATGGAAAAACGCAAGATGAAAACCTAAGGTATGAAAATTTAATTGACTACTCCTTAAGAGAGACTCAGACAACTAACGAGATCAAAATCTAGCTATGATTAACCAAGGCTTGTTATTGTGAAGAGCCGTTAAGCTAAATCACGTGAATATTAGTGGAAGAAGATCATAGTTATGAGGAGATATGTTCTAATATAGAAATAATAAACAATTTTCCAAAAAGTCAATGTTACCATGCTGCAAGTATGTAAAATTTGCTATAAAGTTGCATTTTGAATTTTTTTTTACATTAAAAGCAACAACAACGCATCGTAAATTACAACGATGATTGTGCAACAGTTTGTAACCAAGAAATTCAATACGTTTACAAGAGGGTTTATAGGGTTTGCATTGTTATCGCAATGTTATTTGTTTGAAGTTTTCCATTTAGCAAAATATTTCTAAGATCATCGAACTTGTTACATCCGCAACCCGGCTTAAGAGACTGCACCTTGCAGTAGGCAATATTAGTCAACCGAAGCTTTGTGATAAAATGAACCGAGGTCTGAATTTACATCAGACAAGTTTACTAGCGCCAAGTCTATGTTTGCAGGAGAGAAAGTCTAATGTATTTAATGTTAAGAGTCCGAGCAGACAAATATATATATATATATATATATATATATATATATATATATATATATATATACATATATATATATATATATATATAT